ATTTGACTTTGATGGCGATGAGGCAGGGGGAGAAAGAGTCATTGAGGAAGTATGTTGCTCGGTATAACCAAACCTGTTTAGAGGTGCACTCGGCTTTGGATGAGGTGAAGGCGGGCGGATTGATAAGGAGTCTTCGAGCAGGGCCTTGTCGAACTTCCCTGGCGAAAACCCCTGCTCGATCGTATGAGGATGTGCTGAAGCGATGCAGGAAGTATATCAACTTGGAGGAAATGGAGATGGAGTTCGCTAAGCTGGAAGGAGTGGCTCGACCAGAGCCAAAAAAAAAGAGAAGAGTCCGCAGAGTGGGAGATCGCCGAGGAGGGATTCGCCCAAGCGGGGTGGACAGAAGAGGGCATCGCCTCGAAGGGAGAGTCGAGATTCGAAACGGGAGAAGAAGGATGAGTGGCAGAGGAGGCCGATGTTGTTTGAGAGACAGAGATATCAAACTTTCACGCCCTTGAGGAAAGACATGACGGAGGTTCTCGAAGCCATGGAGCAGAAGATGCCGAGTGAGGATGTGACTTGGCCAAAGACGAGGTTTACAGGCCCAATTCGACCCAGGTCGGATATTTACTGCCGCTTTCACAAAGATTATGGCCACACCACGGAGAATTGCAGACATCTGAAGGATGAGATCGATAGGCTGATTCGAGCAGGTTACTTGAAAGAATTTGTATATCATGATAGGGTGAAGGGGAAAGGAAGGAGAAGATGTAGGGAAGACTCGGAGGAAAGGAGCGATAGAGATGAGGATGGAGATGGTCGAGGCGGTCGAGGAAAGAAGCCATGGAGAGATGATGATAAGGGAGAACATGGAGGAGAGGCCCCGATGAAGAGAGGAACTATTTACATGATCTTCGGTGGGCCAACCGATGGTGACTCGAATAGGGCCAGGAAGGAGCACGCTCGAGCGGTGAAGAGGAAGAGAGAGGAGGTGGGGATTACGGCCCGCATGCCAGTGATAAGTTTTAAAGCGGAGGATGCCGAGGGGGTGGTCTTGCCGCATAACGATGCTCTGGTGATAACCGCGGAGGTTGCAGGCTTTGATGTGAAGAGGGTATTCATTGACACGGGAAGTTCGGTGGATGTGATGTTCTATGACTGTTTTGTGCAGATTAATAAGGAGCTGAATATGGAGTTAAAGCCGGTGACCACGGCACTTTACGGCTTTAATGGGGGAGAAGTCATGCCGATGGGAGAGGTCAGTTTGCCCGTGGCATTAGGATCAGGAGAGTTGAGGAAGGTGCGCATGGTGAGATTTGTGGTTGTAGGGGCTGAGTCATCCTATAACATCATTATGGGGCGGACGAGTTTGAATGCGTTCAAGGCGGTCGTATCCACGTACCACATGACGATCAAATATCCAGTGGGCAAAAACGTAGGGGAGATCGCCGAGGATCATTTCACTTCTAGGAGTTGCTACCAAACAACGGTCAGCAACAACAAGCAGTTGGCGAAAAAGCAGGCCGAGTCGAAGGGGAAGGAGATTAATCGACTAGGAGGATCGAGGTCAAAGGAGGATAAGCAGAAAATGGAAAAAGGAAAGGAGAAAATGGATATCCAACCTGGGGAAGAAGTCGAGGAGATTCAAATGATCGAAGGGTGTGAAGGGAGAAGGTTTTGGATTGGAAGGGATCTGGAAGAGCCTATTCGGTCGAGGCTGATTCAGTTGGTTAGGGAGTTCGCTGATATTTTTTCCTATACAGCTGAAGAGTTAACGGGAATAAGTGCGGAGGTGATCGAGCATCGGCTAAACATCGACCTCAGCGTGAGGCCGGTGAAGCAGAAAAGAAGGCACCATGGTGAGGAGATGGATAAGATCATCGAGCAGGAGGTCAAGAAACTGTTAGGGGCACGACATATCAAAGAAAACCAATTCCCCGAATGGTTGTCGAACACGGTGATGGTGTAAAGGCGGAAGGGAAGTGGAGGATGTGCATTGATTTCCGCGATCTGAACAAAGCATGCCCGAAGGACCTATACCCGCTGCCCAGAATTGACCAGTTGGTCGATTCAACGGCTGGATGCGAGTTGTTGAGCTTGATGGATGCCTCCCAGGGATACCATCAGATTCCCTCGGCGAGAGAAGACATGAAGCGGGTGAGTTTCGTAACAAGTCGAGGGACCTATTGTTACGTGGTCATGCCATTCGGCCTAAAGAACGCGGGTGCCACGTATCAAAGGTTGGTCGATAAAATCTTTAAGGAACAACTGGGGAGGAACATGGAAGTGTACGTGGATGATATGTTGGTGAAAAGTAAGGAGGAGTTGGACCACGTGCGAGATTTGAAGGAAACATTCCTAACATTGCGAAGGTATGGGATGAAGCTGAACCCCACCAAATGCTCTTTTGGGGTAAGTTCGGGAAAATTCTTGGGTTATTTGGTGACCAAGAGAGGTATAGAAGTCAATCCAGAGAAGGTTCGAGCTGTGGTGGAGATGAAGCCGCCGACGAATGTTAAGGAAGTGCAGATCTTAGCTGGTCGAATCGCGGGGCTGAGTCGTTTCATGTCGAAGGTGGCGGAGAAGAGCGGCCCATTATTCAAAACATTAAAAAAGAGTGCGAAATTCCAGTGGACAGAGGAGGCACATAAGGCATTTGATGAGTTGCGAGGAATGCTGGCCAACCTTCCATTGTTGGCCAAACCCATGCAAGGCGAGGAGTTGGTGCTATATATTTCTATTGGAGAGAGGGCTGTGAGTTCGGTGTTGTTGCGAGAGGAAGGAATAGCACAATTCCCTATCTATTATGTGAGTAGAGTGATGCAGGGGGCTGAGATGAGGTATTCGGAGATCGAGAAGTGTGCTCTAGCCGTGGTTGTAACTACTCAAAAGTTGAGACCCTATTTCTTAAATCATAAGGTGAAGGTGCGAACGAATATGCCGCTAGAAGAAACACTTGGTCGGCCATCGGTCTCTGGTCGATTGGTGAAATGGGCGGTCGAATTAAGCGAATATTCTTTGATGTACGAGCCAAGGAGAGCCATAAAGGCACAGGTGTTGGCTGATTTTATCCAGGAAGGCACAAAAGTCGAGGAGGAGTCAGAGGGATTATGGCAGTTGTTTGTGGATGGATCGGTGGCCTGGAGCGGGGCAGGATTGGGAATTGTCCTTGTCTCTCCCAAAGGCGATTACTTGGAGTTTGCGGCCAATGTGGGATTCAAGGTATCCAATAACGAAGCTGAGTACGAGGCGGTGATTAAGGGCTTGAGTCTAGCCAAAGCAGGAGGAGCTCGAAAATTGCAAGTTCATTCCGATTCTCAACTGGTGGTAGGGCAGTTTCAAGAAGGGTTTGAAGTCAAGGAGGATCGGATGCAGAAATATGTAGATGAGATGAAGAAGCTGAAAGAAGAGTTTGATTCTTTTGAACTAATACAAATTCCTCGAGGAGAAAATGGTCGAGCAGACCTATTGTCGAAGATTTCTCAGAGCTTGGTTGACTGCAAGAGTAGAAGTGTCACTTTTTTGCACCTTGAAAGGAGTGTGATCGAAGCGGAAGTGGCGGAGATCGAAGAGGTGGAGGATTGGAGGGCCCCGATCTTGGAGGAGTTGAAGGGAGGAGCGATAAAGGTGGTCAGGAGGTTTTTCGAGCATGGAGGCATTCTTTACAAACGGTCATATGGAGGACCACATTTGCGTTGTGTTACTAAGGAAGAAGGTCGATATGTGTTAAGAGAAATGCATGAAGGGTGTTGCAGTGACAATAGTAAGTCCGGAGCCTTGGTCGCGAAAATTTTGAGGGCAGGATATTTTTGGCCAACGATGAGGGAAGATGCGAAGATGATGGTGAAGAAGTGCTTGCAATGCCAAAAGCACGGCCCCCTTATCCACCAACCGGCCGAAGCCATGACAACAATGAGTGCTCCTATACCATTCGCCCAGTGGGGTATCGACCTGATGGGGCCGATGCCTCAGGGCACCGGGCAAAGGAAGTTCCTAATAGTGGCGGTCGATTACTTCACGAAGTGGGTGGAGGCCGAGCCCTTAGCAAGGATTACAGAAGAGAAAGTAATTAAATTCATATACAACAACATTTGCTGTCGTTTTGGTGTACCCAAAGTGTTGATTTCCGATAACGGCACTCAGTTCAATGGGAAGCGGATTCGAGCATGGTGTGAAAGTATGAAAATCGAGCAACACTTTGCCTCCATGGCCCATCCGCAAGCTAACGGTCAGGTCGAGGTAACTAATCGAATTATACTGAATGGGCTGAAGACAAAGTTGGAGAAAGGCTCGGGAGCATGGGTCGACGAG